ATATATGCCCGCATAAATCATTATGTTATTTTGTCCATTAGGGGGCAGTAGACAAAAAGGGAACCACATCAATTGTCTCAAAATTTTCTTTCAAACTATATTAAAAGAATCTATAAATGCTCTTACAGTCTCTAGGTGGAGCTCGGAACATGTATCCTTTGTTGTCAAGGCTCCTTCGGTAGTAGTTTGAATTGAAAGGCTCGGCGTCCTCATCCCATAACTCAGCAGCTCTTCATACACAAAAAGGAAACGTTCATTTATTTCAACAGTGTGATATTTTTGGGGGGTTATTATTCTAGAGTTTATCAGTTGAACTCACAAGTTGGGGAACACTCGCGTTATGCCTCCGTCAGTGGATGCAAAAACAGCCAGGAAGCCGTACCTGTCGCACAGCATGTCATTTTACACAACAAGACGTGGGTCACTCACCCTGTTTGCCATGCACTCACGAATTGAGATCCTTGTTCTTCCACACGCGTGAGGCTAGCTGCCCGATAATCCTAGAGTCCAGGATCAGGTTGTGTATGAGCTTTTGGTCACCTACAATTTGAAGCAAAAACATTTTTAACATCTATGTCCCTTTAACAGTGACGAATGTTCCTGCGACAAAATGTGCAACGTACACTCCTCTGATCCGGGAGAAATTTCCAGCATGAGGGAGAGAAAGTTCTGCAAAAACTGCGTGTTGTTGTCCGAAAGCTGCAGACGCTTGCAGTATTCCCTGGGTGGAGGGCAGAAGATGTTAACATCCTTTATTGAAGACGAAAAACAAAAAAAGAGAATGAAAATGTCACCTTGGGGCAAGAAAGACATGTCCTGAAGATTCAAAGGAGCTCGGCAGTAATGACTGCATGTCTGAACGCCACAAACGGTGTTACTTTTTATTTCTTTGCATTAAAACTCCTTTCATGAGTTGCCTTTGGGTACTTACACTGAAGTTGAAGCATCACGTCACTGAGGTCTGCCTGGATGTAGTACTCGTTGTAAGGAGGTAGTACCAGCCCCAGACTGCAGGTGGTGTGGATGAGGAGACACACACAGGGGTGAAATGGAATTGTTATCATTTGAAGGTTATAACATAATATACGTTAAACAAGCTCACCTGTAATCTGTACCATTGACAGGGGTCCAGGTATAACCTCTGTACACCTCATCAATGTATTGCTACAATAAAAGCACATGCATGTCATTGCCATTCACTGTACGGGAAATGTATGGAAATATGCGTGAAGGGTGGAGGAGTTGTCAATGCGGTCATCTGATCTGAGTCAACAGTTTAGAGTCTTCAGTGGAACTTAGATGCATGCTTTTAGAACATGGGAGTGAGTACTGGAGGAAATCTAAAGGAGGGGAAAGCATGCAAATTCAACACAGGAAGACTGGAGCCAAGTTTCGAACCCAAAGCCCTAAGAAATCTGGAACCACTGTGCTGCCCAGGTTTTACGGTGCTGCCTTGAGACAAGAGTCATCTTTGGTGCTATTTGTTTGTTTTTTTTTTTTGCTTTGACTTGTGAGAGTACACTTGGAATATTAGGGCTGTATGGTGGCAGCAAATGTAGCTCAAGACACTTTAAAATAAGCAGCAGTTTGGCAAATTGTCCCAAATTCATTGGAGAGAGACTTGAAGATGTTGAATGCCACTCCAGCATTAAGTTTACAGTCAACTTTAAACCCTTGAAGATATGTACTGACCACAAACAGTGCAGCAACAACACTTGGAAAGACCTAACAGTACTCAAAGTCACATCTTCTTTATCCTCTGCTTGGAACAACTTGTATTAGTGTCGTACTGAAAAGTTGAGATGTCTCAATGAAGAGTTATTATGAATCCCACTTGAGTTTTTGAGGCAGGATTCACCCTGCTGCAATTTGACTGCCTGATGCATCCAAAAAAAAAAAACACCTCAGTGAACAACCGATTCATCTGTCTTATACTGCCCCCCGATGGCCATGGTGGACACACCAGAAGGGGCAGCAGCGGGACTCATTATTTCATATTCTCTTTCATTATGAAATTACTGTATATTTTCATAAAGTACAATATTATGAGTGCTCCTTAAAATACACACGACAACATTTGTTGTTATTTATCAGGGGAGGGCTGGGATGGATGAATAGCATTTCATTTCATTTCAGAGTGAAAATGACTTCACATGAGTAGTTGGAGTTACTGTACGAGCGAAGTGACAGAACGAATTAAATTTGTATCTCAAGGCACCACTGTATTAACCAACAATAATAATTACAACAATTCAGTGAAGCTGGGTGTTAAAAAGTTTAGTAAATGTTATCAGTTTCTATCATGTACTGTACTGTTTTTCCGTCTTCTGTGGCTCAACATTGGGCGGACCTTCATGACCTGAGCAGGTTCAATAAAGGAGGTGATGGAGTACCACATTATATGCATTCTGAGAGGTGTCCCTAATAATCTGTCCATCTTCTGCAGCAAAATAAAGCAATCAGAAGCATATTTTTAAATTCAGTCCAAATGGAGAACTTCAACTACGCTACAACTTGTGTATTAGCTGCCGTTAGATTGTGCATGTCTACCTACTGAAGTGTGCGACGGGTGTATAATTCTAAGAACCTGCTATTTTTAGACACAGCTTCACAGGTTTTTTTTTTTTTTACTTGCCTCGTCAACAGACTTGATAAGAGTTTTGATCTGCATATCACCTGGCCGTCCGTCAATCATCTGCCGTCGGATCTACGGCACAAAAATATATATATATTTTTTTTTGCAAACACAATCATGCAGCAAAAGCATGGTGGTCGGCCTCTCATAAAGTGCTCTGAATATTTGGGTGGTTTTGAAGCATGCTGCTCACTGGCGCGGTAACAACTTAAAACATGAGTCGAATGAGGGCAAGGAACATGGAAGGCTTTTTGTCGCATTAAGTGTTCACCTCCTCTTTATTGCTGTCCTCCACTTCTGCATCCAAGAAGTCCAGTGTCACGGGTTCTGGGACATGCACCAGCTAAGAGATGTAAAAATAGCATCTTAAAGAACTGTAGAATATTCAGTTGTGTGGCTGCAAAGCCTTTCTCATCTTGCTCAATGCAGTATAGATATTAAAAAAAAAAAAACATTTCCTCTACATTACCTTGGGCAGCAGATTGGGATGAAGCAGAAGATATCCATTCGGGTCAATTGCAAATATGTAACCATTGGCGCCGAGCTGATGAGAAAACAAGAACATGATGTCCACTGGAAGGAGGACTAAAAAATAAGTAAAATTATAAAATGAGATTGAAATAAACTGGTCATACACTGTACTGTGGTGTCAGGCGCTTGATCTCATCGAGATGCACGTCGACTCCCATGACGCCTAAAATCAGCTGGTTCTGAAAGTGCACATTAGATCAATCCCACTGTATTTGTCGTAATGGCACAAAATTTCACATTAAAAAAGATACAACCGATTTCCTCTTTGTAGTATTATAAATCAGTGCTGCATGGTCAGTCTTTATGTGAGTCTCTGTGATATGCTATGTACTGTAAAAAACAAAACTTGTATTTTTGTAGGGCGAAAACAGTCATTTAGATTGGAACAAGTGTAAAATATAAATTATGAACAATTATGGCAACAATGTTAGTTAACACAACAAAGTTTGTTGACAGTGTGCGTGTGAATATAAAACGATTGAATATGTCACATAGTTACAATTTTATTACCTGTAGTTTTCCATCCATGGTGAGATTGAACACAGGCAAAGTCCCAGTTACGACCATCCCAAGCCCCTGCAAAGGCCATAAGACAAAGGCCCACAAAGTATTTAATGCGGGAGGAAACTGGAGTACCCGCAGAAAACCCACGAAAGCACGTAGAGAACATGCAAACTCCACACAGGAAAGCCAGAGCCAGAATCAAACCCTGCACCTCTGCACTGCGAGGCCAACATGCGTAGCAGGTTAATGGAACACTCCAAATTGTCCCTAAATGTGAGTGTGAGTTTGAGCGCAGATGGTTGTTTGTGTGCGCTGCGAGTGGCTGGCAACCAGTTCAGGGTATACCCCGCCGACTGCCTGAAGACAGCTGGGATAGGCTTCAGCATGCCCCTTGACCCTTGTGAGGATGAGCGGATCAGAAAATGGATGGATGGATGAATAGATCTAATGAGATCCAAATAAAGTTCTGTATCAAAGATCTGTGCCTAAACTGCCTTGTTTAGTTACAGTGTAACATTATTCGATGAAAAACTCACCTATTTGCTGTTTTGTGCTCATGCTTAAGCCATTTTTAATATAAAAATATTGCTTCTGTGTCATCTTGAGGTCAAATAACTATGTTGAATTGAGGGGAGGAGTTTCATTCGTCAGACCATAGCCTTTTTCTAATAGAAAACTCTTTCACGCCATCTTTTGGCATCTAGAGGCAATCGCAACCTTTTTGAGATTGAATCTCCTTTGCAGGTGTACCTAATACAGACGTCAGTGAGTCATGAAAATATTCACTCACTCACCAAAGCATCCTGGTACACATTAGTCCACTGGACCTGCTTGGCCTCGTCGCCTGCAAGAACCATGGGACGTCCCAACACATCCAGGTACTCCTGAAAGAGCACAACAATTATTTTTCAGGCGAGTGGCTGCAGCTTTGGAACACACACACACACACACACACACACAAACACGAGTCGTAGATGTAGATGTGTGTGCGGTGTATGAGCGTCACAAGGTGGAGGGGGCACGTCGAGGGGACCCACCTGCGTGTTAATCCTTATGGCACAGAGGGAACGAATCTCAAAATAGTAACCTGGTGACAGAGCAAGGAATGCCGTGTACAAGAGATGCTGAGGACACTCTCATTTAAGTCAACATCAAAAACAAAAGAGTGATGCTCACCTTTATTTGTGCATGCGATCCACTGTAAGGGCGTGACGTCGTAGTTGTGCTGGCCCACTGAAAAGGTGAAAACTCGAACCTTGAGGTGAACAAAACGTGTTTCCATTTAGATGTTTCGCCCCCAACAAATTGCAGCGTGCCGGAGAAACAATGATGAGAAGCAGCCGACCGTTTTGTTGGGCCAGTTGTACTGCATGAAGACATCCTGAGCTCGGTCCTCACCTCCATCGGTGAAAAGCATGATGATTTTATTGCAGTTGGCCCGTGGCACGTTTGTTTTCTGAAGGAAAATTGAAGCACAAAAAAAATATTGAAAACCAACTACTTTGAAGACACAAAGTAAACACAGGAATCCTTTTTTTTTTTTTTGTTTGTGCTTTTGATACGAGTTAAAAAAAAACTAAACATCTGAGATCTGTATGTGACTATGCAAGAAAATGACAGATGGTAAAGAGTATCACTTGCATTGAGCAGCTGATTGAAGGCAAAATGAAATCCAGACTTGTAGTCCGTAGTGCCTTTGGCCTGCATCTGCTGCACTGCCTCTTTAAAGATTTTCTTGTTGCGCACGTTGGCCTGGACCAGATGTTTGAAACAAGGAACCACTGCCTCTGCCTTCTCACTGAACTACAGCAACAACAGCACGGTTAACAGAAATGGTCAAAAGATGAGACAGCCTGGAATGAGGACGATAATGAACAGGCACCAACCCGCGCCACGTTGACGTAGTCATCATCGGACAAAGTGTCCAGCATCTCCATCACAGACGCCTTGATCAGCTTAAGTGTGAGTCCACTGACACTGCCGCTCCTGGAGTAGAAAAACCCGACGGCTTATCACGTGACTTAATACAGACTCAGAGTACCGGGTAAAGAAAATCAGAAGCAAGATAGAATGAGTGAACAATGAACATAAAACAAAAAGAAGTACAGCACTTTGCCTTAAAGTCCACAAGATAATTGGTGTCGCAAAATGGGAAACTGCATAGACGGGCGAACCAATATAGCATCTTATGGCAAGGTTATAAGGCAGACAGAAAATTTAACAATACTGAAGTCACAGGCTTATATTATTTATCCTCTGCGGAAGAACGACTCCTGTTACTGCAACTCACTGAGTCACTCATCGTAGTTGTAAAACTCTTCTTCGTTGGTGTGTGCGTGACTGGATTGTACTTCCCGCCGGTAGCCAAGTCGCACACAGCAGAAGAAGCCGCCATGAATTAATCATGACGCACTGAACTGTTTCATGACTTACATTCAGTGTATTTGTTATAACTCTGTTTTTTTGTAAATTATGGTTTTACATTTTCCTCATCACAGAAATTGTTGTTTTTTTTTTTGGGTGGGGGGGATGGATTAATGGCATTTCCATTGATTTCATTGGGGAAAGATGATTTGGATACCAGCATGGTGAACAAATTGAACATGTATCTCAAGGTAAGAGTTTTTAGAAGAATATGCATAACTTACACATCAACAAGAATGACCATGTCTTTGGGGGAGGAAGCACCTTGAATGTACCTGTGGCGGAAGAGAAGAAAGTATAAACCTCCACACTGGGCTGAATGTATGTAATGCCCGAGTTGATTTACCAGGGTCTCCTCCTGACATCATACAGGTCGATTTTATCTGGGGCTTTCCATGGACTGGCTGCAAAGAAAAAAAAACACGAAAGCTTGAATTACTGGCTGCATTTCACACGTGACATGACGGCAGGTGACTGTTAAAAATCTACCCGGGTAGTAGCGTGTCACCCCCGTGGCGCTGCCAAACGCTTGCCACAGTAGTGACGGATCCTCCCGACTGTTCTCCATGAAGACTTTCTCCAGCGCCTGCGTCCAGTTGAGCTCATTGAGAATGACCGGAGCTGATGGGAGAGACGCACTTTGGAATACAACGGCTAGGTAACACGTAACTTACAGGATGTGAACTCCACTTGCCTCCTTTATAAATGTCTGTGGGAATCTGAACAGCCGTGTAGGAGTAGTTGACATTGTTTTTGAAGTTGGGGTCGTACACAAACTCCAATTTGATATGGGAAGGATTATCCACTTCACTCTCCCCATCCATGGAATACTGTGATAAAAAAAACAAACAAACAAACAAAAACAACAACAAATATATATTAAAAGCCACATAATGGACAATAACTATGTCTAATGTTCAAACTATGCAGTGGCTTACACTTTTTGAATTATGTCCAGTTCAGTTGTATTTAACTTTAAAATTCAATACCTTTGGACGTAACCTATTAGACTGTTCATTAAAAAAAAATACTGGTGATTTTTATTGCTTTCTTGGGAATTTAATTTAGAGGGGGAATTTGACCCAAAATCATTTTGTCAGTATGACAAGACAAATAGCACAAGATTTAAATGATCTCTGAAAAGAAAAAAAAATCGCAATCATCCCCGGTCCCATCTTGTGCCTCTAATTTGACAAATCACACACATTTTATTCACAGTTACTCACATGATCCAGCTCTGCCTTAGAGTCATAATAGGCCATGTCCAGCTCCTGGGAATACACATGGAGGGCACTTTGAACAATTATATATAAATATAAAACAAACTCGCTTATCGCTACATTTAAATAAACAGACAAAGATAAATCATTGTGAGCAGTGACAAAAGACTTTAGAACAAAATATTTCAAGTCAAAGAGTGTTTGCTGCTTATTGCCACACATGAATCAGGCTCGGGCAGAACGTAACCATCTGTTCGTGTCATTTTTTTCCCCCAAGCCCTAACATCCTTCAGAATAAGCATGGCATCTTCTCAGAGGCGGATATGTTTCTATTTTCGCACCACATTTTTGAGCTCTGAAGATTTTTTTGGTTGTTGTTGTTCTGAGCCTTTTAGCGGCAGCAGTGCCTCAAACATCCGAGAGTGTCAGTCATAGATAAAAGATACTGAACATGAATAGATTCTGCAAAAATGATCTGCGTATGTCGAAGGTTCGGGAATGAAATAATCACAAGCAATGGGAGCCAATATGGTTAAGAATAATTTCACGTCAAGTAAGCAAGTTCTGTTGTTGTCTTTTTTACTTCTGATTCAATGTTTCACAACTTTCATTGTGCTAAGACACATAATACCGGTATATACCGGTCATGATACATCTTGGAGAGCTAAGTATGTATAAGTAGTATGTGTAAGTATAATGTTTTTCGACGGTACTTGCTTGTCCAAGTGTTTGACAACAAGTGGGCTAGTTTATGGAAAACGATATATTGTGGCTTTAGATTGAAACTAAATATACCGTACATGCAATATATACAATACTGTAGAGAGTGCATGAAATTGACCTTGATGCCATCTTGCCAGGGATGCTCTTGCTGGAGCCGTTCAGCCTCACTGGCGAGCCTCTGTTGGAAACACACAGAAATGAGGATGAAGCAGGACCAATCTCCAATCGAGAAGTAGGATTAACCTGTTCAGGGACAGCTCAACTCCAGTGGACAGCTGATCATGTTATCGGGTTGCATGAAAGGGTTAAATGTGAAGTTCCTCAAAAAAAAAAAAAAAAAAAGAACAAAACTCAATGAGCACGAGTCAAAAAGCAAACTTACTTCGAGAGCTTTGCGCTTCTTCGCCAGAAGTTTCTCGATATCGGAAGCCACCTTCTCCACGATTTTTCGAGGTTGATTCTTCCCCAAATTAAAGTGTCTCCTTTCTTCATTGTATATCTACGGCGCATTTGCACGGGAGAAGTTTAGAGCAACGCCGGCACATAGTAGACTCTATTATTCATAAATACATCATGTTTAATATTGAAGCTTGAGGATTTACATCACAAAGCCTCTTTATATTTTAAATTCAGTAGGCACAGGGGAAAGTTGCTTTTTTTCACATCGTCTCTTCACACGCATTCTGTCAGGCAGTTGTCATGGGGGAATCACATTCCTGCAGATTCTATTTCAAATCCTTACTTGGACATTATGTTCAACCATGTAACTCTGCTAACTTGGTATTTATAACAGCGTGATTATAAAAAGGGAATGTTCAGACTTACATGGCGTGTGTTAGAAAAGTATCGCAAAGGCACATTTGTTAATATTTTCCATCAGAGCCGTTGACATGAAAATACTATGTGTGCATTTTAGATTATATATTAGCAATTAAATCTTACCAGCAGTAGTAACATTGTTTGTAATATTTGAGGTCAAGCTCATTTGTTGCACAGCCTAATTTCCCCAGTGTGGGACAAATAAAGGTTATCTTATCTTATCCCATCTATTCCTGTTGCATACAAAACAGAAGTGGTGCAATTCGTGCCATTTCAACCGTAGCTACGATATGGCCACTGAGGAAAACAAGTTTGCCACCGCTGGTCTAAGGCCTCGTTTGTCATCGGCTGCATTATGGAAAGCAGGAATTTTGCACAGCAATTATTTTGTTTCGTAAACCTCTTTCTCATCATTGTCTGCAGCAGCCTGAGAACGAAGGAATTAATGCGGTTGGAATGACCATGTGCAGCTTGCATCCAGGCTTTGGTGCAGGCTGCAGGCTGACCATCTGCTCGCTGTGACACAAACAGAGAGGACATGTGCCCACGCTCCCACACATCTTCCCCGAGCACGCCTCACTTGCCCCCACTCACATGATCTGTGCTCCACGTTGCCAGGACGGCAGCCTCTTCCAGCCCGGCCGACACCAACGTTTAATCGAAATATAATCATGATTTCATATGGATTTCGAAAGCAAATACGGGCTTAGTCGTGCAAGGAGATGGACCTCTACATAAGACGAGCAATCAGTGGGGATCAAGGATTAGATCAGCGTCTATTTTGCTTTTTCTTGAGCGTTTTTTTTTCTTCATTCCGACGCCTGCCGTATTCCATAAGAAGCAGCGAGGGAACAGAGGGAACATATGAAATGGTAATCAGGCTGAATTTGAGCCTGATACTCCCCTTGCGATCAAAGTCAGCAAAACCCAGATTACAGTATTTTCTCCAAAACAGGGGTGGGCAAAATATGGCCAATATTGTTGCTGTTGTATTTTTAATTCATTTATTTTATACAATAATTATGTACAATATTACATGTGCAATTATGTTTATTTGATAAAATAATTGGTTAATAAATAATAATTTCATCATCTAAAAATAAGAATAATAAAGAGCATGGATTACTTTATAAAATGAAAGACATGGTAAATAAAATAAAATAAAATAAAGTAAATAAATCTAACTTTTTTTTTCCATACAAAATTTCACTCACACACACACACACACACACACACACACACACACACACACACACACACACACACACACACACACTAATTACAACCAAAAATGCGAAATGCTCGACAGTATAACGTTTTTCAATGAAACGTTTTACGAAATGTGATTGGATTATGACACAGTATTTGTCATGTAGGCCCTTTCTTCCCCTTTCCTTTGGTGGAATGTTGATGCAAAATTGATCAAATATTGCATTTTTAAAACAGAAGATGGCTTTTAAGCTTTTGCAACGGATGTTTGTCTGTTCAAGCAAAATGCAATGTTATTATACGAACAAACATTTATTGCTCTGCCCAGAACATCTGAAGGAAAGGGAATAAAAGAAGTTGCTGTCATGCGATATGCACCTGTGATCTGCACTTATTTTGCACACGGCTTACTGCGCGTCTTGCGGACTTAATGTATCCTGAATGAGTAAGTGCTGAATATAAAAAGAAAACAGAGTATGAGACTCACCCCTTTCAACTGCTGAGCTCCACTGATGTGCTGAAAGACTCTGTCAATCTCCTGCTCGATGCGCCTCGCCCAGTGCATTATCCTGCAGATAAACATCACAGCCTGACTGCAGCGCACAGAGAATTTCCGCTCGATGCTTAGAACTCAGTTACCTGCGCGTGCACCAAAGAGTTTGCTTTTGTATGCTACAATTGCCTTGCGCATTGCTCGTAATACAGAATGAAAGTCTTAGGCCACCATTACATTTGTTGTTTTAGCAATGCCGGAACGATCATTGAGCGTAGAATGCACACATATGGAAAATGTTGGAGTTGGTCCCCAAGTTCACATGTGCTTTCGCCGTGTCGAGATTCGAGCATGCGGTTAGCATGTCAAACTCAAAAGAAATGAAAGGGGCTGCATTTACTGGTGTATGATTGAAAAGGGAAGTGTTCTCTCTCACAGCGGCGCAGCCCACCCCACTGACAGAACCGCCGGGCCGCCCTCGTCTGCAAAATGACCATCGGGTCGTACCTTACCGACGGTGAAATATGTAGTCCAGTATTGCATGGAGTCATCAAGTAGTTAAGAAACTGCGGTAGTGTTTCTAATTAAAATGGTGTCTTGCAGATTTGTACAGGACATTCTGGAGTATTATATTAGCTTACTATCATTTTAGTTGCTGCTCATAATCACATTTCAAGCAGTTTGGCTGAACATGCTTGTGATGCTTTTCCTCAATGAACTTGAAAAAGTAGCTTTTTCATTTCTATTGTTACGACCAGTACAAACTCATCCCCCAGTAAGAGTGGACATCTGCTCGTTTTTCACATTTGTCTTCTTGTCACTCCTTTTGGTTTCAAAATACCATTTTTGCAGGAGCTGCGTGTTTTGATCACAACGATGATTACTTCAGTAGTGGCTGTGAGAGAACAACCAGTCTTCTGTATGTGATAATGGAGGGCTGCCAACACAAACACTATTTAAAAAAAGAGACGTTTATGTAAGGCATTATTTAACAAATGAGCATCCAAGGGCATCAGTACCTCTAAAATTAGACAAGCTTATCAAAATATCTCTTCACTTGAATGTCAACATAAAAATATATAAACCCCGGAAAGTGTCAGGAAGTTTTTGAAATCCAACTGCGGGTGCTTCTCATCATAAAATATAATTCATTCACCAGAGAAAAAAAACGGTCGGTCAGCCTGCCATTTCTGTCTGATTGCTTATTTTTAGAATATAGTAAAAAGGAAGAAAAGAGTAAAGGAAATCACTGCAGCAATGACAGCTGTTTCAACACAAATTGGTCTGAAGTTGTCACACCGTTTGCTACAACGGCAAATGTTCTTGAAATTGCTTGATGGCAGCACGAAACTTATTTTCCAATTACCAAGTGGGAAAAAAATATGGCACAACAGTGCTGTCACCAAGAACTGGATGTACCTTTAAAATTAATGAAAAGATGAGACGAAAGCTGGTCAGGGAGGCTGCCAAGAGGCGGACAGCAACACTGAAGGACCTGCAGGGATTTTTTTCTTTTTTTCTGGCTGGTATTAGCTGTTTAGTACACGTCAGAAAAAAAAAATCAAAATGGCCCCGGCAAATATGTCATCTGTTATATTTTGCAAAGTAGCTAGAACAGTTTGAACAGTGTCGTGTGGTCCACCGTTTGTTGGGACACTGCTCATGCTCAAAGGTTAAGAAGTGGAGAGATAATGAATGACCCCATTCAATAGGGAGGCGGGTGTCACAAAAAGAGTGACTAATGTTCATATAATCATGAATAAATAAAAGACGAGTTACTGTTCAGTGCAGCTGCTTCAGCGTTAATGAGGAATAAATGATGACGTGCAGAGTTGGCAGTCGATTGCCAGATATTGATGAACTAATCACTGCCTAATGATACATTATTTAAGTAAAGCTTTGCTCTGGTGTAAATCGTTATTGTCTACCGCATCCTCTTCGATTCTACTCTGTAACAAATAAAGGTCCCTTTCTGTCCCTTTGGGTGGTGTAATTTTTCACTTTGGCTAATTATTGGACTCCAGTGCAACGATTTGTACTTCTTCCAGTTTTTCCAATGTGCATGTGTGGCTCCAAGCTGTAAATGTGTCATGCTACAAGAGAAGAATCAGTCATTATAAACCTAACACAGCAATAGAGAACGGTTGTTGAGGTTTGTATGAGTCACGCAAAAAAAATACACAAAGACCCTGGAAAGTGGATACATTATACATGTTTGAAGACAATATCTGAAAATCATGTGCAAAGTGTGCAAGAGTGGCCGCTTTAGAGTGCCTCGTTGTCCGCCCCCAGTGCATACACATCACGCAGAGAAAAGCAGAATAGCAAGCACAGGGGATTTTATTTATTTATACTTCACAGCCAGCATGTTGACTGCTTTGGACTGGGGTGGCTGCTTTAGAGTGCCTAATTGTGGGCCCCAAGTGCACCCATGTCAAGCAGAGAAAGAAAGAATAATAAATAGGTTGGGGGAGTAAATTAAAAGGTCAGACTTGACAGCCAGTGTTTGGACTGGGGCTTTGGGCTGGCATGGCTACTCTAGAGTGCCTCATGGTCGACCACAAGTGCATACTGGTCACACAGAGTCGCAGGGAGTTGATGGAGCCTATCTCAGCTGACTTTGGGCGGAAGGCAGACCACACCCTGAACGGGTCGCCAGTCATTCAACATACGAACATTCACACCCACATTCACGCAGTCACTGAGTGGGAACTGATCCCACACTGCCCGCACATAAGTCCAGCGTGCTTTAAAAAAATCAATGGAAAAAATTTAATATGTTGAGTGAAATCACTATTTCAACTCCTTTTTCCCCATTTTTATCCGTTGCCCAAAAATGCCTACTCCACAAAAAAAATAATAAAATACACGTTTAAAAACTACAAACATGTCTGAGACAATCTATCTGTCGGAACAGAAGGTGGATTTCACAAGGAGCACTAATCCTTAATTCTGTCGTATCCATTCTTAATTGGAAATGGATGCTGTTCTTTTGCGTGACCACTGCTTCATCGAGCTTACAAGCAAGGAGAGATCAGGGCTACGGGGCCCTGGAAGCTATTTCCAAGCACTCAGCACAAATTTCATTGCTTGTGAAGAAGGGGAGGAACAAGAAATGCGTCTATTTGAAATCATTCAATTGATCATGAAATCAACACACTCACACACCGAGGGCTCCGAAGCTAGAATTACAAACATGCCGCTGCTCTCCGACTGCGAGAGGTCAGGAGATGAGTAGACCATCTGGCTTTTCTCCCTCAGAAGAGCCTGATTGCAGACTGCTTGAGGGTGGGGAGCGGGTGGGGGCATTAATGCTAAAGTTGAGGGCCAGCTGTGCTGGACCAGCGAGAGGTAAAAGGTTACAAGTTCAAAGCACTGGATCGACGCGATGAGCAAAACAAAATACTCACGCTTGAGTCGCCCTGCTTACGTCCTCTCGGAACACATATTTTCCAAGGTCGCAGTTAAGGCCTTTTCAATTACTTTTAAAAGCCATTGTCATGCTTTTGCAGCACCTTGCAGCACCGGGATGTAGTCTGTCTTTTGCCTGAAGCTGCAGCTCCTGGGGACGATGAACTGCATACGTGGTATCGAAAATGAATGTGTGCATGAATTGTAACCCTTCAAAGGGCATTTTACCCATGAATGATCTGTAATCAATATTATCGACCCAGTAACACTCTTAAACCTGCTGTGTCAAAAGTAACCCAAATTGGGTGTGATAGCTAACCTGGAGTTTGGTCCGAAAAGGATTGAACCAAGGCAGGGTTATCGATAGCCATAACATTGATTATTTGATACATATACAAATACAAATTTTACTAACAACACCTATTAAAGGGGAAGTCAACCCAAAGATTGTCTTTACTTTGTTGGAAAATAGAGCTTCTAGAGAGTCTAAACACGCCATTCTGATTAACATTGTGCTTGTGGAATATGATTTAAGCAAGAAAATCCAGCCATTTTCTGAAGCTGAGCCATGATTTGTTGTTACCCGAGCCTTGAGCAACCGTGATGTCATTTTCAGTCGACAGCAAGTGGCTGAATGGCTGCCCTTTGAGATGGTTAAAAATGGGTGGATTTTGCTGCTTTT